TGGTTCTAGGCTTTGTTTCTTGACAAATAGTGTCTGGTTATCTCCATTATTGAAATTTATTATTAGTTACAAATATTTGTACGTACTATACTGTAATTCTTTGTGTGAATAATAATCCATAGGTAAGTATATGTTATAGAATATGAAATGTAGTTTCAAATTATTAATATGATTGGTCAGTAGGTGAGTTAGTTATTTAAGATTGCACAAAAGTGAGATTAAGAGCTCATGCATTTATTTTACATAATAAAAACCGTTAAGAAAAGCTTCGTAAGCTCATTCCAACAATTGATTCCTGCAATACCTTAGTTAATTTATAGATGCATAATTTATTTAGTAAGTAAGGAACTGGGTGAAGTTTTTGCCAGTGGTCAGAACTTTCATTGGGTCAGTTTTTATAATACAATACCAGTAAGTGATAATAATATAGTAATTAGTTGATTACAAGATAAGTACTGTATTGTAACTACAGTTATAATTTGTTAGTTATAGCTTAATATCCCTTCAGTGAGGTCATCTTGATGCTGGTGAAAGGCTTCTGGTCCACGGCATTAGAGCTATCCTCTTCCTCTGAAAATAGTTTGATTTCCTCCTATTTCTTAGTTGCTGTTTAAACTTACTGAGTTAAGCATTTCCATGTGAGTATAATAATGATACTGATTAAGGGATGGGGCAATACTACAATTTTTTCCTGATACTAATCCTCAATTTTCGGCCAATACCGATATCATCATAACTGGCCAATACCCACTTATACCAGTAGATACACCATCAAAATTAGTAAATATTCACCTATACCAGTACTGTGGCACACTCCTAATATTTTTTTATGTATTAGATATTGAGTTGCATTAGTTGTGGTGTTTTATTGAGTATTCTATCATAATGAATTATTATTAATTTAAATGCTTTCAGGTATGTGCTCATTTTCAAGGCAGAGTCTCTTAAGCTAATATTTGAGTTCATGTTGAGTAGGGATGGGACGATAATCAAAATTTTTGCTGATATCATTTATGTTTTAAACTAATACTGATACCATCAAAATTAGCCGATACTGTCACTCGGTTTCAAATTGATGCCAATACCATCAGAGTCAGTCAATAGCAATACTTTGGCACATCCTTGGTTAAAATATTTTATTTCACCATGCATATGTATGAATTATCATTAAGATTATTATTCATGAATTGCTTGTATTAAAATGGATTATGATGGTTACTAGTTTAATGCTTTCCTGGAATATAATAGTAATTTTTTTTTTTTTTTTTTTTTTTTCTCAACAAGTCGGCCGTCTCCCACCGAGGCAGGGTGACCCAAAAAAGAAAGAAAATCCCCAAAAAGAAAATACTTTCATCATCATTCAACACTTTCACCACACTCGCACATTATCACTGTTTTTGCAGAGGTGCTCAGAACACAACAGTCCAGAAGCATACACATATAAAGATACACAACATATCCCTCCAAACTGCCAATATCCCAAACCCCTCCTTTAAAGTGCAGGCATTGTACTTCCCATTTCCAGGACTCAAGTCCGACTATATGAAAATAACCGGTTTCCCTGAATCCCTTCACTAAATATTACCCTGCTCACACTCCAACAGATCGTCAGGTCCCAAGTACCATTCGTCTCCATTCACTCCTATCTAACACGCTCACGCACGCATGAGAAGTCAGCACAGATGCAATACATGTATAGGGGTTATCCAAAGTAAATGTTATATTAATGGGGTAGTGCCAAACCCTTTAGGGCTATACAACACCTGGGTAACAGTAGGCAATCTGGCTTAATCCAAAAAAGCAGAGGGTAGCTCTTGATTCCCCTGGACCAAGAGCCTTTCACCAGTGTCAAAGCACTTCCCATGAGGGGTCAAAATGAGTACAATACATAAATTTTAAAAGCACTAATTAGGAGAGACTGAAAAGTTTAATTTGTTTTCTGTGAAGATTTTAAAAGTTAGGTAATTTAATTACTTTATTATTTGTTTCACTGTAATATACTGTACTGTATAAATAATATACTCTTTCCTTCACAGTCCAACAAAGCTTTCAAGAAAATGGATGCAGAAAAGAAGCAGGCAGAGCTTGATCGTGTGAAAACGAAGTATGGTATCAACACGGAGGATTTGAAAAAATAATATTGCAGAGAACCTTGAATTTTTTTTTATATATTCAGATACATAATTTAAAGTATTAGAATTTCATATTGCAAAAACACATGGACAAGAAGCATTCTTTTATATGAATTTTGAAGTACTACTTGATCAACTCTTGATAATAAAGATATAATATTGTAATTCTTTGTGATTTATAAATTTAACCCTTAAACTATAGCCTTTAGGGAGCTTTCCCCCCATGCTCATTTTTTTATGTTAGCAAATCTTTTTGTGCTTGGTAGGGTACTGTTGTTATAAAATTAATTATCTCTATGTACAGTATATATTATCAGTTATATCTCTATTCCAAAGAGTACCTTTCAACTATTTTGAGGCATTCCCAGTAGTTTAGATGTTTTGATTAAATATTGACAGTCGACGACCTCAGGACGTTATTCAGGTCTGATACCTTGTGCACTGAAAAGCGTTGTGAGCACAGAACATTTATAGCATAATAGCAAATTTGACATGAATAGTACCCTAACTTGCATATAAGTTTTCTTGCTTTGAGATTTTCATTCTTTCCATATCTAAACATTTGGAGTTTGTCACCATTGAGCACCATGATTTTTTCTTGACCACTTGAAGAATAATTTTTTGGTGTCTTGTGAGCAACAGTCATGCTTGATTTGGTAACATCCACAAAGAATGATGTGAAACTACGGTTAGTGTTTTATTTATGTTTACTGAGAAACTGTAAGGGTGCCAGAAGCATGACTTGAAGTACCAAAGTTTTTCTTTGCTGAAACTGGATTTTGTATTGTTTATTGCCACTCTTTGTGATGTGTTAGAAATTTGGATTTCCATTAACCTACTTTTTTTATATAAAACTTGTGACCTACCTTAATGAGTTATCACTCCATGGTTGCATTTATGAAATGTCCTTTGCAAAGCCCATGTAGATCAAATCTGCATTTTCTTCTCTTCCAAAGCTTCAGTGATTTATGTTGTAACAACCTACTAGCTGTGAAGGTCATGATCTTAGTTCTCTAAAGCCACGTTGACTTTGAATTGGGTTCAAGTGTTGCATTCATGCGCATGTTGTCTTGTTTTGAACTGTAGTATTTGTGCTAGTGCCCAGTTTAGAATTTGCAGGGTGGGCTGAATCAGAGGAAAAAAGTTATCTAGTTTCATGTTGATACTATTACTGAATAGATTAATATTGTTCTTTCAGCATTTTACTATCATTAGTGTATGAATCTCTAGAAGTTTGATGGGTTTCACACATCCAAATGGGTTTTCTTTCTGGCATTTTCTTCTTATAAATGTCACTGTTCACCAGACTAGAGCAATACTTGGCTCAGTTATAGTAATATGGAACTTAATTAAACCAGAAGTGAAAAAAAAGATTTCTGGGTAGAAATGAGAAGGCAAGGCAGCATGTTTATATTAAAGATAATGACTTTATGCCAAACAGTTAAATAATGAAGTATCAAGGTTGCATTAAAATTGTCATTAAGGCCTCGTGTAGATTAGTACAGTGTGGTTCCAGTCTTCCCCCTCACAGTACACTATAAAGGCACCAGAAATCATACACAGAAAAATGAAAGTCAAACTTTGTATCAGGAATATTTTCTACCAAAATAAAGAACAATGAATTTGAATTCTTTAGAAAGATGTAGAATAAGGAATAGAAAAAATTAACAAAAAAAGGCACAATACCATGACTAGAGCAATACGCAAAAAACCCACACATAGAAGAGAGGAGCTTACGATGACATTTCAGTCCAACTTGGACTATTTACAAAGTCACACTAATGAAAAGGAGAGGAGGAGGAAGTATATATAGGCCAGGAGATGGTAGTAGTAGTAGTAGTGGAGGTAGAAAATAGTAATGGAGTCAGTTAAATACAGTGGACCCCCGCATAACGATCACCTCCGAATGCGACCAATTATGTAAGTGTATTTATGTAAGTGCGTTTGTACGTGTATGTTTGGGGGTCTGAAATGGACTAATCTACTTCACAATATTCCTTATGGGAACAAATTCGGTCAGTACTGGCACCTGAACATACTTCTGGAGTGAAAAAATATCGTTAACCGGGGGTCCACTGTATTAAGAAAGAGGAGCACAAAAGTAGTGTTAGGCTTGCCAGCATCAACAATGCTCTTTTCTGTCACATCAGAGATCACAGTCATTCTATTGACTGGTCTTTTGCTAAAATTGTCTACCCTACTTCCAACTTTTTCAGTCGCCGTCTGGTAGAATCCTTCCTTATACACAACCTTCCTTGTATGAATCTTAGTCCTGGCTTCATCTCTGTAGATGCCTTCCTTTCCCACTACATTGTAAAATGCTCCAAACTTCATAACACCCGTGACTTAACCTAATTCCTTTTTCTTCTCTCTCTTTCCTCTTTCTCCTTTGGGTTGTCTTTCTTTGCCTTGGGTATTTGTTCCTTCATTATTTTTCCTACTCTCTGTGGGCCCCTAGCTCCCTTGCAGTGCTCCTCTTTCTTAGTATTTGACTGGCTCTACTACTACTACCACCACCTGGCCTATATATACTCCCTCCTTCTCTCCTTTTCACTAGTGTAAGGAATAGAAAGATGTAGAATGAGGGTTTAGTGCTTAGTTTTGATTATAATAAGTGTAGAATGAGAGATGTAATTAAAGTGTATGAATTTGAGATGGAAATAAATAAAATGGATAAGATGGAAATGCTGAAAATATCTAACCAATAGAGAATCTTTAACCGTGGATGTACCTGGTGGCAATAACACTGGTCCGAGTTGGTCCACAACAAATTATTGCCTGTCAAACCATGCTTAGGTTCTGCCCCTCTTCCTACCACTGTCATGTTTGGGTGCATGCACTTAAACAATGGTAAAAGAAAACAAATGGTTTTATATTTTCTTTATAAAACTAGTTTGCACAGAGCTAAATTTGTAATATTTAACAACAGATCACTGCTAAATTATGGCAGACAATTTATTGTTTACAAACAAGTCCTTTTACACCTAACTTAGTAAATAAAATTTCTAAGTAGCTAATATGTCACCTGCACATGCTTGGATTCTGTTTCAATAGCATTTTTATTTCAGCAACTTCATGTTTCCATGTAGATTGATGGACAGTGTTGGTGGAAAGGTCAGCCATCTTGATTGCTTGTACTACTCTGGTATTACCAACCTGCTCAATTTCCCCAACCACCATTACATACTGACCTGGAGAAATATGCAGGAACAGTCATCAAAGAACTTCACATTGCAGTATCACATGTAAAGAAAAATTATATGGAACAGTGCTAGACTGTCTTCCACTGATCCCCTTCACCTTGTAACCCTCCTTCCTTTTTCGGTTATTAAACACATTTAGATTTACACTTGCTCTACAATGGTCCATTACCTTATCAAGTATACAGAGCTGCATCAGTAGTGTGTAGGCACAACACTTCACTTTTGCACTCATACACTTCATTCTCCACCTATCTGAATTGTCAGTTCAACTTTATTTCATATATACATGAGACTTATAATTTTGTTTAGTTGAGGAAAGGAGATAGGCAGTGAGTAATGCATTACTGAAGGATATGGCTGGTACATTTACTGTGACACAATCCACTACACTGTGCTTTAGTGTTCAAGAATAGAGGATGTCCAGGAAGGAAACCCTTAAATACAGAAGCTTCACTGTATAGGAGCAATGACATGTTACTGTAGTCACTTTTTTTTTTTTTTTTTTTAACAAGTTGGCCGTCTCCCACCGAGGCAGGGTGACCCAAAAAGAAAATACTTTCATCATTCATTCAACACTTTCACCTCACTCACACATAATCACTGTTTTTGCAGAGGTGCTCAGAGTACAACAGTTTAGAAGCATAATACGTATAAAGATACACAACATATCCCTCCAAACTGCCAATATCCCAAACCCCTCCTTTAAAGTGCAGGCACTGTACTTCCCATTTCCAGGACTCAAGGCCGGCTATATAAAAATAACCGGTTTCCCTGGATCCCTTCACTAAATATTACCCTGCTCACACACCAACAGCTCATCAGGTCCCAAATACCATTCGTCTCCATTCACTCCTATCTAACACGCTCGCGCATATAACTACTAAATACAGTATTTTTATGATAGTGATGATATATATGATCTGTTGGAGTGTGAGCAGGGTAATATTTAGTGAAGGGATTCAGGGAAACCGGTTATTTTTATATAGCCGGACTTGAGTCCTGGAAATGGGAAGTACAATGCCTGCACTCTAAAGGAGGGGTTTTGGGATATTAGCAGTTTGGAGGGATATGTTGTGTATCTTTATACGTATATGCTTCTAAACTGTTGTACTCTGAGCACCTCTGCAAAAACAGTGATTATGTGTGAGTGAGGTGAAAGTGTTAAATGATGATGAAAGTATTTCCTTTTTTGGGGATTTTCTTTCTTTTGGGTCACCCTGGCTCGGTGGGAGACGGCCGACTTGTTGAAAAAAAAAAATATATATACAGGATTCAAGATTTATTTACCATTAGGATGGATCTTATTGGTAAAAGTACAGTAAATCCTCTCTCTATGCAATTGATGTAATGGGCCCATTTCAGCAAGTAATTCTTTGTGTAACATAAATTCTCTCTTATGTGAGGGATGCCACTGACAGTATTAAAGCTTCAGGGGAAAAAAAGTAGAGAATTTCATGCAATTTTAATATACTGTATAAGCCTGGATCATGCGAAAGAGAGGGACACCTACATTGTGAGAGTTTCCACTGTAAGTACTACAGTAGCCTGTAACCTGTGAGACCACTGAATTTCTGTAACTAATGTTTTGTTGTAAAGTAAAAGGGAGAGTAAAATATTACATGCCTGCACATTGGATAATGAAACTCAACAATGTTTCTGTCCAACTTGGACTGTTAACTAGTTAATTGTTCAAGTTGGACTGAAACGTTGTCATCATTCTCCTAAGTGAGGGTTATTTGTGTATTGTTACAGACACAGTATTGTGCCTTTTTATTCATTACATGCCTGAACAACAAATTGTTACAGGTTTCCAAATTTGTTACTAATACCATGTCCATATCCTCGGTATTATCAGTATACATATTTCATAATCCATCCTATTTCCATTATACTGTACAATCACAATATACTGTATTACCTACTACAAACCTTCTAAAATCCATGAGTTTCCACCAGGAATATTCTGACAGTTGGTAACAGTAATTTTAAAGCCTCCATCATCCAGGGTGACCTAAAAACAAAGTACAATATCAACACATTATTTGATAAAAAATAAACAGATGAGCTAAAGAACAGTAGTTTGTAATGAAAGCCATGAAGGGATTTTTCGTACTTGGCCTCAGTACAAATGTAGTATATGCAAAAAAATGCAGCATTCTTTAAAAACTTCAATGAGGTTAAGTTGTGGTAATCGATATACAGAAAGAAGACTATGGATACATTACCTTATTTCATTTGGGAAATATGTTGAAATTTTAGAAAATTAGTCTTAGTAATGGAACAGAATTACTGATATTTTTGTGAAAAAGAATGAATGGGTCAACTGCAAGAAATTGAAAGTCATGTTAAAGAAAATATTTGGAACCAATATTAACAGTACATCACTTCACAAAATTTTTAGATTAACCCTTAAACTGTCCAAACGTAGATCTACCTCCACGCGCGGGGGGCTCCGAACGTAAATCTATGTTTTTTACATGCTTTCAAATGGGGAAAATCAAGGATGGAGCACTACGCACGTGAACGTAGATCTACGTTTGGACAGTTTAAGGGTTAACATCTCATAGGAGGTACCTTGATGTCAATGAGGGGCTCTTTAGCCGAGGAATTGGATCTGTTTTCCCTTCCTTAGACTGACTCTAACTGCCTCTCATTTTCCAGATGATGTATTACCACTACATGTTTAGCACCAACAATAATAAATAATAGATACAAACAAGGCAAAAGTGAGTACAGTGGTACCTTGACTTACGAATGCCCCAACATGCGAGTTTTTCGAGTTACGAGCTGTTGCTTTGAGTTGCAAGCCAAAATCCGAGTTATGAGTGAGCTCTAGATGCGCCGCCACTAATTGGCGGCGTATCTGAAGTCAAATCCAACTCTGTACCCAGAGGAATGTCAGGTACTTCGTCCCATCCCATATGCTCTTCCAAGACATAAGTGGAAGGATAATACTCCCACACTAATACCAGACTGTAGTAAGGCACCTTGTCCCTTGTTTGGTTCCCATATAAATCCAGGGAAGAGGTAACCTCCATTTCAACACTCAAGAGTTTCTCCAGAAACATTAAGGTGGGTGGAGTAGTAATGGTGGTCAGTGGAGTAGTGATTGTGGTGGGTGGAGTATTCATAGTGGTAGGTGTAGTCATGAAGGTTGGTGGAGTAGTGATTGTGGTGGGTGGAGTAGTCATGGTGGTCAGTGGAGTAGTGACTGGTGGGTGGAGTACTGATAGTGGTGGATGGAGTAGTGATGGTGGTGGGTGGAGTAGTGAGGGTGGTGGGTGGAGTAGAGATGATGGTGGATGGAGTAGTGATAATGGTGGGAGGAGTAGATAAGGTTATGGGTGGAGTATACAATATTTCTTATTTATAAATACATTTTTCTTGTGTAAAACCCGTAACAAACAAATTGGGGTGGTTTTTTCGGGGCTGGAACGGATTAAAGGCATTTCATTTAATTTCAATGAGGAAAATTGTTTTGACATACGAGTAAATTGAGTTACGAGCTTGGTCAAGGAACGAACTAAACTCGTAAATCAAGGTACCACTGTATACAAAAATAAGGAGAGAACAAACATTGAAAAAGGAATAGCAGAAAGGCATGATGCAGCCCAGGTAATCAAACATGATTGTATACAAATTACTTAACTTGTAATTTACCTCATTCTTGTCTTGGCTGTATGAAACTACTTTTCCTTGAGCCCATATCAGATGCACACTGAAGGAGAAAGTGTCTTCACGGAAGCACCATTGGTCACCTGCAAATTACTGACATTACTTTCCTGTTTGACTAGAATTTGATTTTATGTATAGTTAGAAAAAAAATTTTCATGAAACACTCATAAAAATATTCTAAATAAATATCCTATGAAATTCAGTTATTAAATGAATTAGTACATATATGAAAGATTTTTACACCTCAAAAATTTTGTCAAAAATAGTTCATGAGAACATTCAAGAAGAGAACATTCAAAATTCACATTTAATTAAAATCTGATTACAACTTAACAGCAGTAATTTGGCTCGAGCAGAATTTTTTTTAAATTTCATTATATAAGAAGACATAAGAGTGTAAAACCTTGTCCTCCCAAGGAACATGCCTTTGAAAGGATTCTTAGACAGCAGATGTCCAACTAAACATGCTCTAACCAATTTTATCTTATATTCTCAGGAGCCTTTTCCATTCAATATATCAGCGTTAGTTGCCATATAATCCTCAATGGTAATGATTTCATAGGCTCACTGGTATGAGTGTACTTGCCAGGCCCACTGGCACATCAGTACATGTGCACGGTGCTGAGATGTCGCTGGTCCATTGGCCTGAAGCTCTGTTTTAAACAGAGGCACTTTCTAAGACACATCTCCACTGCAATCTCGGCAAATGTTGTAACTAAAGACCAAGGATGACTACAATGACTTTTCCCAAATCCCAAGATGTTCCAAACCCAGTATGATATGGACCTGTCATAATTTTTCCTTTCTACATTATTGGTTGTCTTTAGGAATAAAATTTTGTAGCAGTATTAAGTAGCAATGGAAATATTTGGCTAATAGTAAGAGAGAATCTACTACAATTCTCCAATTTTATTAGCTATGGTATGTGGTATCTGGTACAGTAAATTTATTCTGGTTTAATATTTTTCATGAATATAATATAAATTCATTAACACTTATGAATAAGATACTGAAAGTGACAAGTGACAGAATTTGAGCAATACGAAAGTTTCCAGTATTGTAATTCAAAACTAGCGAATCAGGATAGATCCTGCTTTATATATTGTACTCTTCTCTATTTAAAGCTCCTTGAAAATGGATAAAAAAATATTGAAATCCATCCAACTTGGGCCCAAATAATCCAATAGCTTCCTATTACAGGAAGACAACTGACTATGATATACATATATGTACATATAGATGAGCCTGGTCTATGGCCGGGCTCCAGGAGTAGAAAAAATCTCGGCATTCATCAAAGGTAAGGTATACAATTCTACACATTAGGCAAGAACAAACAAGCTACCCCTTCTTTTTTTTTGTATGCTCATTTTTACTGAAGAGAAAACAAAAACCTACTACAGTGCTATATGTCTGTTATAACATGTAGGGTACACATCAAAATAAACATTAGTTTTTGAAAATGATGACCCTTTGACTGTCGGTGTCGTATATATATGTCTTACGAGCCAGTATCGGTGACGTATTAATACACCAAAATTCTAGTGGCTTCAAATCAAGCGGGAGAAAGTTGGTAGACCCACATGTGAGAGAATGGGTCTGTGTGGTCAGTGTACGCAGTATAAAAAATATCCTGCAGCACAAAGTGTATAATGAGAAAAAAAAACTCTGTGTTTTTGGATTAAGACACCGACTTTGAGGTGTATTTTCATATAGTATTTATGGTTGTATTCTCGTTTTCTTGGTCTCATTTGATAGAATGGAAGACCTATTACAGAAATAGAGATGATTTTGATTGATTTTACGATGAAAAGGACCTTGAAATTGAGCTGAAGGTAACAGAAATGTTTGATTTTTGCCAATGTTCAAGAGTAAACAAATGACATCACCATCCAATAAGTGTCTGCCTAGCCATTCTAATATGCAATCACAAATGGGTTGACATTATTTATACAATTATTACAATAATGCAGTAGTCTGCATAACAGTATATCATCTATTTTTTGTGTGAATAAAAATTCAAAATAGAAAGCAAGAGTAATATCAGAGGGGCCTGGAGACATGACTAATGAACAGAGGTAATATTATTTTAGTGCCAGGAATTTCTGCATTGTTTATTCTGGACCCTATTTTGAAATAGGCATGTTTTTTAATTTGCGTGAAATTGCGCAAATTGCCGATTTCTGATCACTTTTTTGGGTAGTTGAAATCAGTAAATGGGTGGTTTCTTGTATTCAATCGATAGAACAAATGGAATTCTAAAAATAGGACTCAAAGTGGGCAAAATCGCTGATGCGCATATGTACTTCTGAGATTGCTAACTTTGTGAGAGCATAATTCCGTAAGTTTTCCATCAAATTTTGTACTTTTGGTGTCATTACCATTGGGAAAAGATTATCGTTTCATAAGAATTTTTTTTTTCTGAATATTTTGCGACACAGACACTTCAGGATCTTGGGTCTCAACGGTCAAAGGGTTAAAAATTAACCACATTTAGTATCATCCATTGCTGAACCTCATTTCAAGCAAATGATTTTTTTTAAGAATGACAGAGAACTGGAGGAACAAACTTGAAAGGCAACAATTTTTCCCCACTGAGTGACAAATGTCCTAAGTGGTTACTCTGTGTCATGTTCTCAAAACAAACAAAAAAAAAACATATGCAATGCATATAAGCTGCTGCTTCAACCCACAGATGCTTGTGAGAAAAATAATAAAAATTTGCGTCATCCTACCTTGGTAGGAGATGGCCGGTTTGTTAAAAAAAAAAAATAACGAAAATCCTAAGCACAAGGTATTAAAAGTTTTGTGGAAGATGTTAATGAAAGCAAAACATTCACTGCAATTGTACTCATCAGTGTTATGAGAGTTCCTCATAACACTGATGGAAATATAAAAATTATATTTTATTTTCTAGAAATGAAAGGCTATATTTTGTCTATTCCATGAATACTTCATAAGAAGTTATCATTATAGAAAAATATTTCCATGAAAACAAACTTTGCAAATAATTTACCTATATTTCTTTAAAAAACATTGCAAACATATCAAGTAAACTTGAAATTTGAATTACTAGATTGGCTTGCATAAATAACTGAAAATGTCACTGGAAATCAAGCTGTTTGCATATTTGAGTCATGCTTTGCAGGTACAGTAAAACTAAGTTTAATGTTAACCCTTAAACTGTCCAAACGTAGATCTACGTTCACTCGCGTAGCACTCCAAACATAGATCTATGTTTTTTACATATTTTCAAATGGAGAAAATCAAGGTGGGAGCACTATGCACGTAAATGCAGATCTACATTTGGACAGTTTAAGGGTTAAAGCTGCATACGGTGGTACCCCGAGTTTCGGCCATAATTCGTTCCAGAAGGCTGAGTGCCATTACCGAACGGATTTGTTCCCATAATGTAAGTTAGATTAGTCCATTTCAAATTCCCAAAAATACACTTACGTAAGTGTTTGAGTTGGGAGGTGTACGAAACTCAGGGTACCACTGTACTGTACAGTATTAGTGAAACTTTCACAATTACCTATATTTTGCAGTTGAAGAATATCTTGAGCATGGAGTTTGCGTGCTGGTTGGGCAAACTTGCCTCCTGACATGACTTGCTTATAATCTTACAAAATGAGCCTCTGAAAGATAAACAGCCAATAAAATGTGAATAAACAGTCTACACATATGCTGCTATGTATAATAATTTATATACATAATGTATTTATGTGTACCTACACCAGAATAAAAATTGAATTATAAATGGGACATGTGCAACATTTGGGTATCTTTATTCTGGATACCCAAATGTTGCACATGTGTCTCATTTATCAACCTATAAAATACTGCATAGTATTATCAAAGATAAATCATATTTAATAATGAAGCACAATTTTGCATTTTCAGAAACATGATAAAATTTACTGGAGACAATGGTTTAAACCACTATTAATCCTCACAAAGATATAAAGCATTAGGAAGAATTCTTAAACAAAAAAGTCAGGGATATAAAACTAACAGGAAAGCAACAAAGATTAAAGCAGTAAATACATAAACTAATACTCGGCTCTCACATTACGGTCCATGGTTCGAGCCCCAGTACAGGTGCAAAGATTAGGGTGTTTTTCCTAAAGACACCTGTCCATGTTCACCTAACAATAAAAGGTACCTGGGTGTGAGTCGCATCCTGGGGACAAAATGACCTAATTTGCCCAAAATGCTCTGCATAACAAGGGGATTTCTATATAGTATGTCACTGATGTCAGCCATGGTCTGTATAAGTTGAATCATGTACTTATAGAAATAAAGTTTATTAAAGGTTAAGATTTTTAACCCCTCCGAGGTTAAAAATCCGAACAAAATCGAGGAACTGTCTTATTTCTATTGGGGCCCTCAATCTTGTCCCCCAGGATGCCACCCACACCAGTTGACTAACACCCAGGAACCTACTTGCTTGCTAGGTGAACGAGACAGGTGTAATGAAACGCCCAATGTTTCCACCCTTCCCGGGAATCAAACCACAGACACACACTGCAAGGCAAGAGCGTTGCCTACCAGGCCATGGGCCACCTATTATTATTATTATAGTCATATGATGGCCCACAGCTGGAGCTTATGGTTGTAATTATAGCTATTAGGCAGTGTGTAGCAATTACTAAATTTCTTTCTTTTCAGCAGATGTTGTATAGCCCTTGTAGTTTAGCGCTTCTTTTTGATTATAATAATAATACTAATAATCTTTCTTTTCAGCAATATACAGTATAATATTTCCTCTGGGAAAGTCAACATTTAGTTAGGCCTATATCAGCTGGAGTTGACCTGTAATAAGTTTTTATTTAGGAATTCTGCATAATTTGAAGTTTTAACAAGGGTTTATTGGATTTAGCGTTTCTTTTTTATTATAATACAAGGGTTTATATATTATTACAATCATGGAAAACACTAAACCCGTAGGATTATACAGCGCATGTGGGGGGGGGGGACGGAAGGTACTCAGGCTCAGTTCAGGGAACCGGAGCACAGATCCAATTCCTTAGATCAAGAGCCCCTCACCAACGTCAAGAGGTTTATACAAATTTTGTAGAAATTATTGGATAGCCCAGTTCTCAGTATGACCTGTGTCTACGAGTTTGCTTATTTTGTTATTTTGTTACGTTTTGCCACTAATGTATGTCTATAATGTTGTATTCAATACAATCATCGTAAATATTCACATATCAATATGTAAACACTAGGCAATTTAAAATGCTCTTATTACTTTGTTGTTGTTGTTGTTGTTGTTGTTGTTTTAAGGGTTGTAAGAGTTGGAGGAGCTGCACAGATGATACCGCCGCAGCACCAGAGCCTCGCAGCATTGCACCGCCAGAGCCTCGTAGCACCAGAGCCTTGCAGCACCAGACCCTCGTAGCACCAGAGCCTTGCAGCACCAGACCCTTGCAGCACTGCAACACCAGAGCCTCGCAGCACTGCAACACCAGAGCCTTGCAGCACCACCACCAGAGCCTCGCAGCACTGCACCACCAGAGCTTCGCAGCACTGCACCACCAGAGCCTCGTACCACTGCACCACCAGAGCCTCGCAGCACCAGAGCCTTGCAGCACCAGAGCCTCACAGCACCACCACCACAGCCTTGCAGCACTGCACTACCACAACCTTGCAGCACTGCACCACCACAACTTTGCAGCACTGAACCACCAGAGCCTCGCAGCACTGCACCACTAGGGCTTCCCAGCACTGCACCACCAGAGCCTCGCAGCATTGCATCACCACAGCCTCGCAGCACTGCACCACCAGAGCCTCGCAGCAATGCACCACCATAGCCTTGCAGCACTGCACCACCACAGCCTCGCAGTACTGCACAACCAGAGCCTCGCAGCACTGCACCACCAGAGCCTTGCAGCACTGCACCACCAGAGCTTCACAGCACCGCACCACCAGAGCCTTGCAGCACTGCACCACCAGAGCTTCACAGCACCGCACCACCAGAGCCTCGTAGCACCGCACCACCACAGCCTCGCAGCACCAGAACCTCGCAGCGCCACCGCCTCGCGGCACCACAGCTTCTCAGCTCCGCAGCCTCGCAGCACCACAGCCTCGCAGCATCACAGCACCCAAATCTTGCAGCGCCAGAGCCTCTCAGAGCTGCAGCAAGGTGTTCGTCAAGGGTCACTTGTCAGGCCGCTGGTACACAGAAACATGATCGACTGCTCCAAGACAAAGCGACGGACCTCCTGGTGAAAGCCTTCTCAAGTAAACAGAAAAAAGGGGAGAGATAATGACCTTACCTCGAGAGATGTAAAGTATAAGTAAGTATATTTAGGCACAGGTACATAAGTACAATTATCATACGTAATGTAAATTACCTAGGATAACCCCCCAAAAGTCAGTCTGACTTATTTCCATTAAGGTGCTTCGATAACTAGGTCATTAATACCACAGACCAATCGTACAGGATGCTATATGAGCAGTGCCAGAATATTCTGAAGCTTATATGCCAACTCTACTCATAGGAGGTAACTGGACCCTGATCAGGGGCTCTTTACCTAGGGAATAGTTTAGCGCTTTCTTTGATTATAACAATTTATCTAGGGAGCTGGATCTGTGCTCCAGTTCCTTGAACTGAGCCTGAATACCTTCCAAATCCCCCCCCCCCCACAGACGTTGTATAATCCCTACGGATTTAGCGCTCCCTAATAATAATGTACCAACTTCCTTAAAAAACAAAAGGTTTAAAAACACATCAAAGATTTTATTCGGATTATTAACCTGCTGAGTTAGTGACACAAAGTAACCAAATCTGCCTCTCCAGAGCCCAATCATCCTTCAGACTCATGGACTCTTGATCCAAGGAACTGGACTTATTCTCCCTTTCCTTTGATCGAGCCAGAATGCCTTCCATTTCCCCAGGCGTTATATGGGCTTAATGTTTTTCCCTGATTAATATAGAAAAGAATACCTCCAAAAATATTATAGATAAAACTATCAATGTTTAGTTACTGCTGTCCGTATTAATATTTTAACATTGCTCTCTTAACAAACAATTTTTTATGCTTACAACGATCATTCTATTTGATAATCAGATCTTAAGACAACTAAGTTATCTTAAATCTACTTGAAATGTTTCTAACTATAGACTTGCACATGCAAGACACAGTAGCAACCAGCGAAGAGGCGGAGCCAGGAGCTGTGAATCAACCCCGTCAACCGGTTAAGTACAACCATTTTCAAGCACTCTTTAGCTGTATGGCCCTTGTGGTTTAGCGCTTCTTTTTTATTATAATAATAATCAACCACTCTTTAACACATCAATATTTCTTAATTACGAGAGAGAGTCGTCCGAGCGGTAGAGAAGGGTGACCTCCCAAGTGGGTGTGACACATTTGTAAGCAGGTCACTGTGACACCTCACACCTTTGTTCCTTCGTTCCACCTGAGTGGCTACTCTACTGTACATAACCCTGGTAGGTTTAGCGCTTCTTTTTTGATTATCATAATAATGCTCTGCTGTAACACTCCCCTCAAGGAAGGTTCCTTGATGCTGGTGAGAGGCTCTTAATCTAGGGAACTGGATCTGCTTCAGTTCCCTGAAGTGAGTCCAGCCCCGGGCCTTCCCACAAGCGCTATATAATCCTACGGGTTTAGCGTTCCCCCCATGATTATAATAATGCTCTATGAGAGTGAGTCCTGGCCTCCTACTGTTGGTACTAAAAAACTGTGTTCACTTTGTCTACAACAAAAATGGTTTTAGTTTCAAACTGTTTTACAAAATTTGAAGCAAGATATTATGATAAGATAAGATAAGATAAGATTTCGTTCGGATTTTTAACCCCGGAGGGTTAGCCACCCAGGATAACCCAAGAAAGTCAGTGCGTCATCGAGGACTGTCTAACTTATTTCCATTGGGGTCCTTAATCTTGTCCCCCAGGATGCGACCCACACCAGTCGACTAACACCCAGGTACCTATTTGCTGCTAGGTGAACAGGACAACAGGTGTAAGGAAACGTGTCGAAATGTTTCCACCCGCCGGGAATCGAACCCGGGCCCTCCGTGTGTGAAGCGGGAGCTTTAGCCACCAGGCAGTTTTGTATTCAAGGTTTATTTTCAGCTGCTTTATTCTTTCTCTTTCAGTATATCCAGTGTCTACAGTTCATCTATATGTTCTCCTGGACCTACAATCACCATGTTATTTAATAAATCAAACACACACTCCAGTGGAAATAAGTCACTTTGACTTTTTTGGGAGGGGCTACCACAAGTAATTTACATATATATTATTATGTAAAACAAAAGTAAGACTACAAAGATTATTCTTGGATAAACTTATTTGTTAATCTTCCTGGGTAGTGGTATTAATAACCCAGACATAGAAGAATCTCAAGGAGAAAAGACGAAGACCCAAACTGAAGATGTATATCGCCCTATTATTGCAGACTGACTGCAGGAGTAGTGTATTTATCGTGAGATTAGCAGTCGGAGGATCGAGCCTCCAACACCTCTAGTTGTGAATGATCCACACGAGTTTAGTGTCTTAAGTAAGTACTTATTTTCTTATTCGTTTTTATTAGGGCAGAGTACCATGAAGAACCAGTAATTTACATGGTACTGAAGAACCAGATATGATGTTTTTAACAGGTTATGCTATGTTATATCTATATAATGTACTTTTTATGCACTCGTAACCTCTGTGGGCCCTCACGAAAATTATAAAAAAAAATATGTTACGTTCAGTACCAAATACTAAATATAAACTTGCTTAACGACTGAACAATCCTCTTAGTTCTTCAAGTATTACATACAATCGAATACCTTACAGCAGCCAACAAAGCAGTGACATTTAAATACATATAGAGTATTGCATCCTATTTTTCCTTATACATAAAGGCAAGTAAAGAGTTCAGATCGAGTTACTTGATTGTCTTTTGTTTAGTTTCGATTGTTTTGATATTGTGTTGGAGAAGGTTTTACAGTTTATGTTTATCCCTGCAGTCATTTGTTGTGCCTGCTGGTGTGAGGTTGTGCCACACTCATTACTCGCTCCATTATTTCCCGTTTCCCATGTTATAAATTCCCCAGGATTACTGTTACTACCTCGTGATTGCGGTCATAATCCAGCGTCCATCTATAAGGTAAGTGCTGGTGTAGCGAGTGTCGTCACTGGCAGCGTTGTAGCCTTATAGACAAAGATTCTTTTAAGATATTTGGCAGTGGGTAAAAGGAAGAGGAATCGAGTTGTCATGTTATGTTCAGTGTTACTCTCGATACTGAACATGAACCACTGTCTCCTTCCAGTTTCTTGGACACTTCTCACTTCTGTGTTCAAGTCCGCGAGGAAGGATATCAGAGTCTGTTGTAATCGGTGGAAATAAGTCACTTTGACTTTTTTTTTTTTTTTTTTTGGTTATCCTGGGTAATTTACACTATGTATGATAATTGTATTTGTGTACCTGTACTTAAATAAACTGGGGAAGTGCTAAACCCGTAGGGGTCGTACAGCTTCTAGGGACATTGGGAGGCAATCTGGTTCAATCTAAGGAAGTTACATGTACTGGTTGAGTGGCTATTTTATTGTACCTGTGGCTCGGTTAGCAGTGTAATCACCTCACAATTTACAAGCCATTAAACAGTCTAATTCCCCTCATCCATTGGTCCTTCGTATTCAACAGTGATTGTGCCGTGTGGCTAGCAAAAATAAAAATGTCGCTTTCTGCTGGGTCCCTAAACACTTTGGTGTGCAGGGTAATGAGCAAGCAGATGTTGCTGCGTGGTCAGCGGTACATGATTTCCGGTTTCTTATAGAGGTATTCCGCTCAGGAACTATTTTCCAGTCATCTTGGACCATCTCCGCAGCCGTTGGCAACAACGGTGGACGGGCATGCACTGTAACAAATTGCACTCTAACACTTAAACTGTCCAAGCAGATCTACGTTCACATGCGTAGTGCTCCAAAAGTAGATCTACGTTTTTTTTACATATTTTCAAATATAAAAAAAAAAGTAGATCAAAGTTTTTTACACGTTTTCAAATGTAAAAAAAAAAAAATCTGCTTTTTTTACATACTTTCAAATGTTGAAAAAACGTAGATCTACGTTTGGACAGTTTAAGGGTTAAACCGCTTTTAGGTTTGTGGCCCTCTTCTTACTACCGTTGCCGTTCTCAGGAGACTGCACTCTCCCAGCTCCGCATTGGTCATACACCTTACCCATGAGTATCTCATGTATAGGCGCCCTATTCCTTTCTGTCAGGTTTGTCGGGTCCCTATTTCAGTTCTCCACTTTCTTGTAGATTGCCTGGTTTACCAACGAGCTTGCAGGATTTACCTCCAACGACGCCACTGCCCTATCACTCTTACTTTATCTTCTCTACCTGGAGACGACTCTTCCTTTACTCTCAAT